ACCGCTATCATGTCCCCCCTTAATCTTCTTTTTTCCAAACTAAACAAGCCCAGTTCATGAAGCCTGGCTTCATAGGTCATGTTCTCTAAACCTTTAATCATTCTTGTTGCTCTTCTCTGTACCCTTTCCAATTTCTCCACATCTTTCTTGAAATGTGGCGCCCAGAACTGGACACAGTACTCCAGCTGAGGCCTAACTAGTGCAGAGTAGAGCGGCAGAATGACTTCACGAGTTTTGCTTACAACACACCTGTTGATACAACCTAGAATCATATTTGCTTTTTTTGCAACAGCATCACACTGTTGACTCATATTCAACTTGTGGTCCACTATGACCCCTAGATCCCTTTCTGCCATGCTCCTTCCTAGACAGTCGCTTCCCATCTTGTATGTATGGAACTGATTGTTCCTTCCTAAGTGGAGCACTTTGCATTTCTCTTTATTAAACCTCATCCTGTTTACCTCTGACCATTTCTCTAACTTGCTAAGGTCATTTTGAATTATGTCCCTATCCTCCAAAGAAGTTGCAACCCCACCCAGTTTGGTATCATCTGCAAACTTAATAAGCGTACTCTCTATCCCAATATCTACATCATTGATGAAGATATTGAATAGTACGGGTCCCAAAACAGACCCTTGAGGAACTCCACTTGTTATCCCTTTCCAGCAGGATTTAGAACCGTTAACAACAACTCTCTGACTACGGTTATCCAGCCAATTATGCACCCACCTTATCGTGGCCCTATCTAAGTTATATTTGCCTAGTTTATCAATAAGAATATCATGCGAGACCGTATCAAATGCCTTACTAAAGTCTAGGTATATGACATCCACCGCTTCTCCCTTATCCACAAGGCTCGTTATCTTATCAAAGAAAGCTATCAGATTAGTTTGGCATGACTTGTTCTTCACAAACCCATGCTGGCTATTCCCTATCACTTTATTACCTTCCAAGTGTTTGCATATGATTTCCTTAATTACCTGCTCCATTATCTTCCCTGGGACAGACGTTAAACTGACCGGTCTGTAGTTTCCTGGGTTGTTCTTATTCCCCTTTTTATAGATGGGCACAATATTTGCCCTTTTCCAGTCTTCTGGAATCTCCCCTGTCTGCCATGATTTTTCAAAGATCATAGCTAAAGGCTCAGATACCTCCTCTATCAGCTCCTTGAGTATCCTGGGATGCATTTCATCAGGACCTGGTGACTTGCTGACATCTAACTTTCCTACGTGATTTTTAACTTGTTCTTTGTGTATCCTATCTTCTAAACTTACCCTCTCTCTGCTTGTATTCACTACGTTAGGCACACCTCCAGACTTCTCGGTGAAGACCGAAACAAAGAAGTCATTAGCATCTCTGCCATTTCCAAGTTCCCTGTTACTGCTTCTCCCTCCTCGCTAAGCAGTGGGCCTACCCTGTCCTTGGTCTTCCTCTTGCTTTTAATGTATTTATAAAAGGTCTTCTTGTTTCCCTTTATGCCTGTAGCTAGTTTGATCTCATTTTGTGCCTTTGCCTTTCTAATCTTGCCCCTGCATTCCCGTGTTGCTTGCCTATATTCATCCTTTGTTAGTTGTCCTAGTTTCCATTTTTTATATGACTCCTTTTTTATTTTGAGATCGTGCAAGATCTCCTTGTTAAGCCAAGCTGGTCTTTTGCCATATTTTCTATCTTTCCTACATATTTTCTTAGTCTTTCCCCATTGGAATAGTCACTAGTTCCCAAATGAGTCGTATTATCTTTGCCTGAGTTTTACCCAAAACCTGAATGTACTTTCATCAAAATATTCGCTCTTCTCAATAGTGTACACTAGTCTGCAGAAATATGTATTTTTGGGCCCCTTTTCCAGCTGCATCAGCTATAGATTTGATGGGATTTTACTGCCTTGAAGCAGCAGCCATAGGCTGCAGTCTTGCACCATATGTGTCAATGGAAGACTTTAGTACCAGCAAGATCTGGCCCTTAGCATTTCCTCCCAGTGCTGGCAGGAGGGGATCTGTTACTTTAATTTGAACTTTCATTATCTAAGTGAGGAAGACGGGGCGCATTTTTTAAAAAGTCTGCTGGGTTAGATATTTTGGTTTTTGGAGTGATTCACTGCTAAGTGGATAATATTTAACATTGAAATATCTTTCTGACTGTGTAAAAGTAGCTGACCTCCAAGAGATCTCGTGTGTTTTGTGTGATGAACATCTCGGCCAATACACTGGGAGTCGAGCTGGTGACCTCAACAAAAAAAAGCTACCTTTTGCACTAAAGAGTCAAGGTTCTATAGTATTGCTGGCTGAAAACACTGCTATCCCCTGTGGACGGGTACAGAGGTACACCCATAACAGTCTCCATAGACTAAATTTACATAAGAATGGCCATACTGGGTCAGACCAAAGGTCCATCTAGCCCAGTAGCCTGTCTGCCAACAGTGGCCAGCACCAGGTGCCCCAAAGAGGGTGGACCGAAGACAATGATCAAGCAATTTGTCTCCTGCCATCCATCTCTAGCCTCTGACAAACAGAGGCCAGGGACACCATTTCTATCCCCTGGCTAATAGCCTTTTATGGACCTAACCTCCATGAAATTATCTAGCTTCTCTTTAAACTCTGTTATAGTCCTAGCCTTCACAGCCTCCTCTGGCAAGGAGTTCCACAGGTTGACTATGCGCTGTGTGAAGAAGAACTTTCTTTTATTAGTTTTAAACCTGTTACCCATTAACTTGATTTGGTGTCCTCTAGTTCTTCTATTATGGGAACTAATAAATAACTTTTATGTATTCACCCTCTCCACACCACTCATGATTTTATATACCTCTATCCTATCCACCCTCAGTCTCCTCTTTTCTAAACTGAAAAGTCCCAGTCGCTTTAGCCTCTCTTTATATGGGACCTGTTCCAAACCCGGCCCTTTTCTGAACCCTTTCGAAGGCTAAAATATCTTTTTTGAGGTGAGGAGACCACATCTGTATACAGTATTCAAGATGTGGGCATACCATAGTTTTATACAGGGGCAGTAAGATATTCTGTCTCATTCTCTATCCCTTTCTTAATAATTCCTAATATCCTTTTTGCCTTTTTGACCACCGCTGCACACTGTATGAAAGTTTTCAGAGAACTATCCACGATAACTCCAAGATCTCTTTCCTGATTTGTCATAGCCAAATAAGACCCCATCATACTGTACGTATAGTTGGGGTTATTTTTTCCAATGTGCATTACTTTACACTTATCCACATTAAATTTCATTTGCCATTTTGTTGCCCAATCGCTCAGTTTGGTGCTATGGAGTTGTATTCCTGATAGATTTGGATCGGGAGGTGTACACAGATGAATATTTTTAGTTGACTTTTTTGTGCTCATCTCAAGAGTCCTCACTCAGGCCTTAAATAATAAAGCAAGTGATACATTTTACAAATTACCTTCTCTCCCTTTAGAGTGAAAGGAACAAATAGCCAGGATTAGTTCTGAGACTGACATGATTGTTTCGTCTGTACTGGTTACAATCCCATAAAATCACAATTACACTGAAAGGTCCAAGCATTTTATGTGTGTTTCCTGCTCCTTGACTCCTGACAAGACTGTGTGCCAAGAGAGATTGAAATAACTCTGTCTTCTATCTGTGCCAAGAACGTGTCCAAACAAATTTGTAGAGCACCGATGCTTGCTATTGAAGCACAAGGATAAAGCAGCATGTATGACCAGGTGCACTATTCCCAAATTCTAATACAGATCATCATAGTTTCTTGTCTACCTTGCCAAGGCTGTCACGCATCTTTCAAATTACAGTCATTGCTGGGGTAATTAAAGTGCTCTGTGAGTGGTTCCTGGGGAATTAAAGGAGCAGGCGGTTTGACAGTTGGAATGCAGGTCAGGCTGGAAGAAGACTTACATCCAACAAAAGACTCATTTGAAAAACTTGCAATGACCTTTGTTCATGTGCCAATTCAGTTAACTCTCTGATTGTGCAGTTTAGACAGCTCAGTCAGGAAAGGGGTCACAGGAGGACATTTTATACATAAGATGTCACATTCTTCAGTATCAGGGCTTCAGTATCAGGGCCCAGACTGAGAAGTCAATTCAGGTGGTGGGCCAGTGGTGGGCAACATGGTTGGTCAGGGTAAGATGCTGGCGGGACACCAGACAATTTGTTTACCTTGCATCTGCAGGTACGGACACTCACAGCTCCCACTAGCCAGAAACAGTGAACTGCCGCCAATAGAAGCTGCGGGCAGCTGTACCTATGGATGCAAAGTAAACAACTTGTCTGCCAATCTGCCAGCCACTTACCCTGATGAACTGCCGGTTGCTCCCCACGGGTTTTAGGAAAATAGCCTAGTATGGAAGAACCATTTTTTCCCCACTAATAGTTTATGATTCCTTAAATTGACTCCAGATCAACAAATCACTTAAGAATATGCTCCGTTCACTTTGTGGAGCCACTCACATGCTTAAAGTTAAGCATATTCATAAGCTCTGTGTTGGATCAGGGCTACAGAAAAGACTAGGTAGCAAATCCTTGTACACTAAGCACTTCAGAACATGCAATTTATTGGGCATAGTTAATGGGTTCTGGGCAGATAGTGAAAAGAGTTATTAAAAATTCATCAAATAAATTATTAAATTCTTATTTGACCAGCTGCACCAATGATGGAGAACAGCCAAAGTGCAGAACACAGCCACAAGAGGAGAAGGGAGAGAAATAGGTTTGACTGCTTTGATCACTGCTGTCAGCACTACATAAATGCATTAGGACTCAGATGCAAGAATATTCAAGTCTGTTGCTATTCAAGTCAACACATAAGCACCCAATTAAGCACTTTTCAGCAGTAGGGCATGCTATCTTGAATCAGGAGAGGTTGCCAGCTCCAGGAAGAAGTTGGTCTGCTTTGGGGGAGAGTGAGGGAGTTCCATGTGGGGCTTATTTTAGTGCCCCCACCTAAGTTGTTAACTTATGACCAGCATCATCAGATTTTCACAAGAATTGGAATATTTCCTCCGTCATGCAAGCGATTGTCTCTTGTTTTTTGGTTTTAGGTGAGAGTCTACAATCTTCTCCAGTATGAGCATGGACCAGAGGATGTACTGATCTTAGCTACTGATGGACTCTGGGATGTATTATTAAATGAAGAAGTGGCAGAAGCTGTCACAAACTTTCTACCAAACTGTGACCCTGATGATCCCCACAGGTTTGTGCTTTTACCAGACAATTATCATTCTGCTGCAGCAAGAATATTTTTTGAAACTTATTCTTTTCCAGAGAATAACATGAAGTGAACAAACCTTTTCTTGTAAGATTTTCTGTATCTTTATGGGTAGATTTGCAGCTTGAAGGCTTTTGAAGTGGAAATATTTAAATGTGTTAAAAACTAAGACTGCTAACTATATAGGGATGGGGCGGGGGGGACTACACTAGGTTGGCATGAGTTCTATTTTTCTCACCTCACTAATGCTAAGTCCTCCTAAGGAATTTAGCAGGACTAGTGCCACAATACCAGCCCAGTAGACAAACCGCTTTGTTGCATGGGAATTTGCCCACCTTGCCCCTTACAGGTTCTGACCATCAGCATCTTTTCCTCAGTGTGGTCACCTGGTGCAGGAACCTTGAAGCTAAATACCATTTTTAGGTGTGCCACTGCTGATTGTGTGCTCAATTTATGATGATGATGATGTTTTTAAAACCAGTCTTCAATAGCATATGTCCAGAGTCGAGTGCCAGCAGCTGGACAAGCTGAGTGAGACTAGGAGATGACAAGGTTTGATTGCAACCCGTTTCATCAATAATAGTCACTGTTTTCCTGGCTTTATCTCTTCTTCCTGGTCAACATTGCTCTTCACAGCATCATATTATCTAGCAATACAAATGTTCCCAAAGAGGTGAATGTCACTTACTCTCCCTTGAACGAGTGGCCTGTCTGTTTTCTTGTGAATTAAAATATCAGAGTGAAAGAGACTTCAGTGTTGCTTCCTAATTCAGGCCCACAGTTTCTGTGCCCAGCCACCCCTCTCTCCTGAGCTGTCCCCTCTCCTAGGTAGCATTTTTCCTCTTATGAAAACTCGCACTGCTATGCAGAAGAGAACAGAGCTTTTTACACCTTTTTTTCCACAAGGGGAAATGGAGGGCATTCCGGGGATATTTTGGCATCCCAATGAAAAATGCGTGCCACTGGCTGAGGAGAATCCATAGAGCTCTCGTTACATTCGACTGTCGGTGGCAATTGGAGTGGGAAGAGAGTAATACAAATCCAAGTGGTTGTCTGAGTCCCTTTGCCCACTGTTATCTTCCCTGTTCTCCCTTTGTGTGGTAATACAGGGCTTAGCCTAAAAAGATGACAACTCATGTGAAGCATTTTCAGATTTGCAAGTGACAGCCGTTCCAGAGTAAATTGCAAACAGTATTTTCTTATACTGGCACTGACAAACATGGAATGTAAAATAGCATTTCACTGCAAGTGCTGGATTGTCAGGTGAATAGATGATTAGCATGAAGCTGCAGTTATGACATTCTGACCTTCACAGCCTCCTGTCTCTGAGAGAAGTGGTAAAAATGAGAGTGTATGGGCTGCTTGACTTCTGTGTGGCTTATTAGTCCCTCAGCTAAGATAGAGGCATACATATATCCTGGGTTTTGCAGGAGAGCCCAGGGCTATGGCATCTTAGAGCCTGCCCTAGAAAAAAGCAGCAGCATATGTGTATGCTGTACAGCGAACACAAAATGATGCTTTCATTTAAAGAAAAAAAAAGTCTAGGGATGTGCCAGCAGAACTGGGAGAATCATCCTCCCTTCTCCTGCCTGTTCCCAAAGAGGTAACTGCTAGCCAAACAGTGAAAATGTTATGCTTACGAGCATTACCCATCCCATTGTAACGGTGGATGTACAGATGACCTCCTCTCTCCCCATTGCTCTGGGGCCAGAGAGGCTGGAGCCATGTGGCCTCCTCCCTGCCTGCTACTCCCAGGGGCAGGGAGGCTCAGGCTGTGCAGCCTTGTCCCTCCTCACTGCTCTCAGGGGTGGGAGGAGAGGTTTGCGGCCTCTTCCCTTCCCACTGCTCCGGGGATGCTGGGGTACACGTGTGTGCTCTTCCCCTCCCAGTGGTGGGGGGTGTGCATGTGCTCAGCACACTGCTCCTCTCCTCCCTGTGGTAAGGTCAGGGTCTCAGCATAGGGGGCCGGGCTATCGGTGAGGATGGGGGCCTGCCTCCCCCTAGAAACTTCTCAGGTCTTCTCAAATACTCTCTGTGACTGATGGACTCCTCTCCTTGTATAATAGTATAGTAAAATGCACATGGGATCTTTTTAGGGGAAAAGGCAATACAAAATATTTATTGAGAATAAAAAGTAGCACACACGCCATCCCATTAATGTTATAGTTACCAGTTTCTTACTCACATCAACCAAGCCAGCTAAGTCGGGTGTGAGAGAAGAGCCGGGCTTCTGTTGTCCAGACCGATGCTGCGATCTTAGGAGGATGAAGACCCAAAGGACCATTCGAGACACCCGATCTTTTATAGGAATCCCTTCTCATGCAGATCTATAGATTCTGCTGCATGTTGTAATCAAGTGACTTTGCAACGTGTTAATCTGGAGATTCTTTTTGTTGTTTTTTTAATATCAGTCTGCTGTCAATTTTTCTGGGTGTTCTCCCACCCTGGTTTTGATGGGTTTTATTATTTTTACATGTGCTTGCTTCTAACTTCCAAGTTCCCAGTCTGCCCCTCATCCTGTCACTGAAAAATAGGGGCACGTTTGATAGTTCCTTTGTGCCTCCAAGTCTCCAGCCCCTCCTCTGGCCATCTGCCTGCTGTGCTGGCCTTCAGACCAATCTTTTTTTGAAACAAACACTCAAGTTCTTCATTCACACGAACAAAAATGACACAATTGCTTCACACCAGCAAGAATTACATAGTTGCTTTTGTAATAGCAGATCTAGTGCAAAATATTCTAAGATTAAAATAATTATTACTATTACCAATGTTTCCATAATAAAAAAAAACATTCTCATACCCTTAAATTAAAGAAGAAAACGATCCTACTGGGAAAAGGGTGACAGTAGTGATAAATAGACCCTTCTGTCCTGTTCCTGCCTTAACATTAATAACAAACACAAGCAGCCTGCTTGATGCATCTTTACAAACAGCACTAGACAGTTCCTTTCTGCGAGTCAGAAAGAAAGGCTGTCAGGTTACACTGAGACACATGACATTGCATAAAGCTACATTTTAGCTTCATGGCTATTCTAAAAAGCTCCCATAATACATAGTGACAATTTGTCTCTTCTAGAAATCCATTTTTAGAGGAGTTGCTTCCTGGATCGCTCAGCCTGCCCACCTCTCTGGGACTTCGTTCACCCAGCTGTTACTTCCTCTCACCACACTCACCCGCCTGGTGCTGCCCTTCTTATTTTGGTTGCTTCTTACTCACGAGTAGTACCTATATGTGAGCACATAGTACTAGTGAGTGCTGATTCTAACTTGCCTCAGCACTGGGAAGTATCTGAAAGCCATGGTGGCGGCAACTGCCAGTCACATGGATATCCAACCCACCTGGATCATGTATGTCACTGAATCAATTCCCTTCCATTGCAGGGGCCTCGGGCACTGCTGCAGGTCAATCCCTCCTGTTCTCTTCGAGTGGCACACCCGTCTTCCCTAGGGCTGTAATACTATGATCTAATTTTGGATGTTGGCAGTGGTGTGGAGGAGACTAAATGGCATTTATTTGCCTATGAAATGCAGGAGGTCAGACTAGATGATCTGATGGTCTCCTGTGGCCATGAACTCTATGACAAAACACTTGTAGCTCCCAGTGTAGCTGCCTACAATCACCCTATTCATTCCCTATTGGAAAATCTGAGGCACATTTGCCTCTAGCTGGATAGCCAGGGCTACCTAGTAATTATACATACCTCAGTTAGAAGTGGGAGTTGTCTGCACAGCTTCAAATGATCGGGGTGACCCTGCCAGTCAAAAAGCAAAGAGGAAGTCCCTTGCTGGTGAGAACGTACTGATCATCTGTCTGTGAAGCACTACTGCACCGTGGGCAGACAGAGCAGTGTTGACCATTCCCCATCCTAGAGAATTTTCCTGTAAGTTCTCTCCTCTTTTCAGGACATGATTCTACTTTCAACCGTGCAGAAATATGTCTGAGGGGCGGGGGGGCAAAGGGAGGAGAGTGTGAAGATCTGGGCTTTGTGTGGTGGTCAGCTTAGAAATGAGTTTCTTGATCGTTGATTTCCCGATTTTGACATGGCCGCCATTTGTATTTAAATAAGCTTTTCCCAAACTTTTTGTTACAAACTAATAAAAACTTATAATCAGTAGTAGGTATGTAGTGGAAAGAGGAGGACGCGAGGAATCAGTTCGATGTCTCAGAGGGTGTTAGGCAACGTCAGAGGAAGAATAGACAGGGAATACCCAACAGAGCTTTGAGATGCCTCACCTATTTGATAATGTCGCCAAACACTATATTATTTAAAATTTTATCCAGGGCATTTCAGTGTAGCTGAGATCACCCATTTAACATTTATGGCCAGTTTTTCAATATCCAAGTTGATGACCTCAGCAGTGCTATCCCAGGACACACATGTACACAGAATCATGAATAGCTTATTGTAAATTAACAATGGAGAGGAAACATAGTCCTAGAGCAGTAGTTCCTGACCTGTGGTCTGCAGACCCCTGGTGATCCGTAGTGGTACTATAGGGGGTTGCGGAAAGTCGGGAGCTGAGAGGCTCCGTACCGGCACCCAGCAAGTCCCTCAGCCTGTGCTGCTTCCCGAGTGGGCTGAGGGATGTGCAAGCTGCAGGCACGACTATATTGTTTGGAGGGTCTGTAAAATTTTAATTGATTGAAAAGGGGTCCCTATGCTGGAAAAGGTTGGAAGCCACTGGTCTAGAGGGTAAGTCACTGGACTGAGGTCAGATTTAATTTCTGGCTCTGCCACAGGCTTCTTCTGAGAGCTTGGGCAAGCCACTTTGCCTCTCTGTACCTCTGTTCCCCATATGTAAAATAGGAGTGATAACCCTTCCTCCCTCCCTCTCTGCCTGCCTCATCTTGTCTGATTTTAATAGATTCTGGGTAGAGGCAGTCTCCTGCTACATGAGCATACAGCAGCTAGATCAATAGGGTCTTGCACTCTTAGGGACTGCAATCATAATACAAATAAAAAATAATAGTGCCCACCTATCCC